ATGCTCCCGGTCCCGGAGGAGCGGCACGAACGACGCCGATGTTCTCCGGCTTGCCACGACCCGGTATCAAGACGACGGGAACCAAGGCAAGGTGCCCATCGATCTTTGGAGGATTTTGAGTCGTTCCCCGAAGTGGCAACAACTCAACAATCCCGACGGCGGATCGTTCCGGAAAAGATCCACCGTCGATGCCAAGGTTGAGGTCGACGAGACTATCGGTTCTAGCGATCAAATCCCTCCCTTCAACGTTGCGGATTTCGATGACGAGGACCCCATTCCACGGCCGATCGGAAGAAAGAAGGCAAAATCCATTGCCTCGGGTTCGGGAGGGTCCGCCTTTGTTTCCGCTTCTCCCCGCGACGAAATCGGCCGGGCAATGATTGAACAACTTCGGGCGTTCAATCTCCAAGAACAAGAGAGGTTGAAGCTAAAGGAGAAGGAGTTGAAGCTAAAGGAGCAGGAGGCTGAGATGAAAGTCATGCAAACCGACCCCAGTACGTTGTCGGAGTTTGGACGAATGATCTATGAGCAAAGAATGAGAGAGATGAAGGAGAAATATAATTTACCTTAGTTTTTTTTATTAATGTATCGTTTTTTAAATTATTGACGCTTTTTTTATTTAATGAATGTATTTTTTTATTATTCGTGTTTCAATTTAATTAAATAATAAAATAATTACATTTTATTAATTTAATTTTAGAAGATGTATATTTAAAAATGTAAAAAATGAAGGTTTGAAGCCCAGTTTTGAAGCCCCGGGGCTTCAAACCCATTATGAGTGCTCTTAGAGGCAGAATGGATATATTAGGAGTCTCATTGGAGTTTGAGAGAGAATTGGTGTGCCGCATTATATTCTTGCATTTGATGATGTAAATTAATTAGACGGTACTTATTACTTTCTATTTGATGCGATCCAGTTAAAAATATCGACCTAAGTAGAAGACGAGTAAGAACACTTGTAATCTAGTAGTAATTATTATGATTATGAGTATATATACTTTTTCCCTCTAACAATAAAGTTCTCGTTCACTATTCACATGGTCAAATTTTATTTATTTTCTTGATCTATTTTCGTATCCTATTTGATTAAATAATATTGTCATGTCATCGCTAGTTTTTTAGATCTTTCCATATAATTTTTAAATACGGAGTATGTAATTTGTTTTTTATTAATGAAGGTTGATTAATACTCCGTAACTTGTATGTAGTGAAAATTTGTACTAAGTATTATTTAAATATAGTCTTTTTCCAATGTAGTACTTAAATTTTTTATTCTTTAAATAGTACTTGAATAATGTGGGAATAATATTCAGTGATTGTGGCTATTTAATTTAAACAATGTCCAGTGCAATGGACATTTACTTGAACAATGATCAATGAACATTAAACAATAATACTACATTGAAAAATTTACTATATTTTATAACTATTTAAATAAATTCCTCTGGTATGAAATAGATACACAACTTTTTATTTTGGATCACATTACGTTTTAAAAAAGGAAATTGAGGGCACATGCAATGTCGTGTGACTAGTCCAAATTAAATTTCTGGATACGCCATAGGGGAGCAATAAGGCCTTCTCTAATGGGATGTCCAAAAGAGATGCTAGGAGGAGAGAGTGAAATGTTTGTGGATGCTATTATTATAGATATATGCCCAATAAAAATGTTCAAAGAGAAAAATAAAAAAAAGATGTTTGGCATAACACTCTATGCTTGAGGATGGAAGAATTGGGGCATTTGTGTTTTAAGTATTGTGGTCCAATATGTATGTGCCATGTGTCATATTTATTATTTTTTTCAATTTGAAAGTTTGCATTTATAGTTTTTTTGAAGGCTCAAAAGTTTTTTTTATTAAATTAGATTTGGCACCTTCAAAAAATTAGATATGGCAATGTTCTAGAATTCAAACTCTTTTTTAACGGAATGACTATTTTTTTATTTATTTTAAAAATTTTCTTAGATACTACCTCCGTCCCAGAGTATTTGTCCACTTTCATTTTTACATACCATCCAATATACTTCTTTAATCCATTTTATATTGTAATTTGTATATTAAAAAAATATAGAAATTATATATTAATATTCTATATGTTAAGACAAATCAAACAAGATCACACATGACTATATTTAGGCTTACACATTGAGAGAATTTGATGAGTCAAAGTGCTTAAATGAACAATTCCAAAAGTCAAAATTGGACGAATACTCTGGGACAGGGGGAGTATTTGTTTTTTCTGTTTGTTTTGATACAATATTATCTACATCATATATTAATTACATAAAAAACATTTTAAAATATTTTACAACGTAAATCTAAGAAATTTAATTTTGTATCAATATCTAATATAATTTTTATTTAATTAAAGACCAAATTTTATTAATTTAAATGTAAAAAGTCAAAATTAGATATATATTCTAGGAAGAAGGTAATATTAATAATAACGAGTAAATAATTAATCTTAATTAAAAAATTATCATATACTAAATACTTATAATTAAGAAAATAAAATATAATTGTATTTATATGAATCCACTGCATTCATTGAATAAAATGAGGCATCCATATGAGATGTCACTATTGAAAGGTTTAGATGTTGAGAGAGGTGCTCAATTGGCATTTTAAAAGTAGAGTCCACACCTCAACATGTAGCGAGAGATGCTAAGCTACCATTGTGGATGCTCTAATATTGAGTAAGTCCATTATGGGTCAATGACACGTTGAAATTGTCTTAGATTATAGCTACACAAATAAATATTATCACAAATTAATTGAATGGGGCGGGGGTATGGCTCGGCTTTTGCATTCCCTCAGTTTAAAAAATTTAGAAAAGTTAAAAAGTGTAAAGACTTTCATATATTACTTTTGATGTGATGAAATAAAATAAATAATGTAGAGAAAAAATAGAGGTATAATAACAGATTCATTAAAAGTCTTTTTGCCAAAAGATGAAAGAAAAAGAAATTTTTAGATATTCCAAAAAGAAAATGAGGAAAAAAATAATGAACAGAGACACTATATAATATAGGGAGTAGTATATGTGCATGTGCATGTGAGGGCATGTATTATATGTATACATATCATTGTTGATTTGAAGTCCGAAGATGAGAGGATATTGCTTTATATATATATATATATATATATATATATATATATATATATATATATATATATATATATATATATATATATATATATATATATGCATGTCCTTTAATTATTAATTAGTTATATATATATAATTGGTTCCGGAATATATAGTATAATGTATGATATCCTGTCCTTCCCCCAACTGTCCGCAGAGGGCTCGACAAGAATAAATTTGCCTCTGGATCGATCATTTAATTTATCGGCCCGATCTTATCTTTGTTTTTTTTTTTCTTTTTTCCTCTTTGAATTTGGTCTCTTTTGTCGCCAACATCTGAAATTTTCAGTGATCCATTTG